TGTGTGTGTGTGTTGGGACATATTTGAACTGGGCACTGAAGTATGCAACATGTATATTTTCATACTGTGATCTGACACACATTTGAAAGCGTTTCTGCGTGACAAGCTATTTAGCACTGGCAGAATGACAAACTGCTTCGTATTGTTGTCAAGAAAACTGCATGGCTTGTAGTCTATAAAGTCTGTAGGAGTGGAGTTCAAGTTGAGGGAGACTTTATATGCTTGGTCACTGACCTGGGTCTGATATGGGCTTCGGAGGTGGTTTGTGTCTACGTTATACAGACAGCTGACCTTTTTCCAGGCTATCTGCCCCTTTGATTCCCACAGCAACAACCCTGTAAGGTAGGAAGGACTGAAATCGTGGCTGCTTCAAGTCACCCAGTGAGTTTTTATGGCTGAACATGGCCAGCTCTTTTTCAAGCCAGACCAGTAGCTCTGTGTGCTTGATTCCTTTTCAGATGCAACATATTTCACTGGAAAAGCTATCTGCTGCCTATGTGTGGCAGAGAGTCCCCTGTGGGAGCCTGCCTTGATCCTGTTCCACTTTAAGGGTGATGTGCTCCCATGCTGTGGATTGAACCACAAGTATTTCTTGTACAACTGATTGTAGTTTTGACACAAGGCAGCTAATGTACTCTCTGCTTGAACTCCCCTGTTTTCAGATTCTTGGAGTTGAGATTCGTAGCCAGTCACGAATCAGAGGGTAAATCAGAGTTTGGGGGGCCTCCTGGATATCAGCTGAAGAGGAGAAACAGGGGGAGTCCCTTCTGAGAGGAAACTGAGCCCTTGGAAGCTGAGGCTGCCCACTGCTATCTTTTTGAAGGGGTGCAAAAAACAGCTTCCAAGTCAGGATTCCAAGAGGCCCCCTAAAGAAAACAAACCCCAATTTCATCTTTCTCATCTTAGCATTTTACTGCCCTCTACTGGTGAGAATTGCAACTCCCCAGCATATAAAAGTAACGTCTCCTTTGAACTGAGCTTGACTCCTGTGAATTAACATATCCCGCGTTGTTTTCTTGGCAACCGCACAAAAGTGGTTGGCTAGTGTTTTCATCCAGGGTTTGTTTTGACTTCCCAGTCTAGACTATAGTTTTGGGATTACCGGGCAGTCTCCCCCATCTGAGACTAACCAGGTTCTTAGTTAATGCCTGAAACCAGGTATTGGTCAATCAGTTTGGTCAGCCAGGTGCTTCCCTGTAACTTGATTCAGTTGTATTCCTCAAGACAGAAGGAGAGGATGAGATTTTTCTGTCACTTAATTTTTATAGATTTTAACTCAGGACGGTATGAAATTTAAATGGAGGGAGGAGAAGAGCTAGTACCTTGAACCTCATGTTGCAAAGCTTGCTACTGGGATGTGATCTGTTTTAAGTGGTATATGCAGGAGGCTGGAGCAGAATTTTGTTTTCTCACGGCATCTGATATCAGAATGATTTTTCTCCATTCTTTTTTCTGTTGAAGTCCATGGTTCAATCAGTTCTTGGGATTATATTTTATCTGAGTAATTTTATTTGCTTGAATGACAAATATTTCGCTACAGAACCAGACTTGCCTGGAGCAACTGATCCCCATTGCCTATCTTGCTACCTGCTCTCTACCCAAGTGAAGTAGACAAATATGACTATAGTACTGAATCATGGGGTGGGGGGGAGAGCTAATTTTACAAAATGTCCCTTTTTTCCCTTTCTTCTAAGAGCTGTTCTTTGGCCAAAATGCCATTATTTCATAGAGCATAACAAATCGTCCTTTATTTCAGAACATTAAAAAAACCCAAAAAGAACTAGTTGGATTGGACAGAAACCCTATTTCTAGTAGCTGCCAGCCAGATGGTAATGGAAAATTTAAAAATCTAAAAACAGACATTAAAAACAATCGGCCTCTCTTCCAGCCCTGCCTTTCCTAATGAGGTGTGGTGGTATATTGCCACTGACCAAGGAGGCTTTGTTTATCTGTCAGGGCTCAGAGCATCAAGATAGACAGCCCCTCCATGCCTTCGCCTCCACCTCTTTTTAAAGCTGCCCAATTGAATGGTCATTCATTTTGTCAGGATTGGTTTTTGTAAGTTAAAATGTGGCATTTTAATGAAAAACCTGCTGCCCTGAGTTAAGCCAGTGTTCCATCTAATCAATTGGGTTTCATACAAATGAAGAGAGCCTGCTTGATGCAATGTTTAAGACTCCAGCCTAGAAACCAGGAGACTATAAGTTCCAGTGCCACCTTAAGCATGAAAGCCAGCTGGGTTATTTGGGGCCAGCCATACTCCCTCAGCTCAGCTCTCCTCACAGGGCGGTTGTTGTGGGAGGAGGAAGGAAGGAGTATTGGGTATATCTGCTGCCTTGAGCTACTTATAAAGTAATAAAGGTGGGGTAAGAAATATATAATAAATAAGTAAATAAAAATGCCCAAATCGGGGAACCGTCAGCTAAGCATATTTCTGGTAGTTTATTCTGAATCTCTCCTGTGGGGGTGGAATCCAAAATTTAGGGCAGACATGGTAGCCTGTCTTTGCTCCTTGCAGCAGTATGGCTTGGATTTCTTGCTACCTGCTNCCTAACCCTAACCCTAACCCTAAACCTAACCCTTACCTTTATGTGAATTGGCTTGCTTTAATTTTAATTTTATTTCAATTTTTAATTTTTTTCGTCGCGCTGTGATGACGTCAAATGCGCGCTTTCGTCGAGCGCGATTTTGTCCTCCGCGGTTTTGACGGGTCACGGAGTTTGGTACGGTTTACCTTAAGTTTTGTATAAGTATTGATATGGAGTGGAGGATATAAGATATGTTTATTAGCACCGCTGAGTTGTTTTGGTGCCTATTGCTCTTGGCTGAACTTAGAGCTTCAAAGACTGTTGCAAGGCAGAGGGTTCCACCTTACTATGATTGGTTCTGGATATCATGGGAAAAATAAACCAGCTTGATATGTGTTAGATACAGGTATTTATTTATTAGTTTTATTTGTTTTGTCAAGCGTGTATAGGGTAGTTGATATAAGTATATACAAGATTATGAATACATGAAATGGATACGAATAAATGGGGTTGTTAGGATGGGGACAGTAGGCATGTTGTTGTGCTTATGCACCCCCCTTTATGGATCTTTTAGGAATGGGGTGAGGTCCACAGTGGACAGTTTAAGGTTGAAGCTGTGAGGGTTAGAGGATGTAGCAACAGAGTCAGGTAGAGCATTTCAGGCATTGACAATTCTGTTGCTGAAGTCGTATTTTCTGCAATCGAGTTTGGTACGGTTTACCTTACGTTTTGTATAAGTATTGATATGGAGTGGAGGATATAAGATATGTTTATTAACACCACTGAATTGTTTTGATGCCTATTGCTCTTGGCTGAACTTAGAGCTTCAAGACTGCTGCAGAACAGAGGGTTCCTCCTTGCTATGATTGGCTCTGGATATCATGGGAAAAAAATAAACCAGCTTGATATGTGTTTGCTTTTGCATTGGGCTACTATTGCTAGTTTGTCTCATCCCGAGAGAAACTACATTTCTCTTACCATTGCTGAAGTGGTCTAGCTGTTTAAGCCTCTCATTTCTAAAGGGCAAATCATAGCCAAAAATAAAAAAATAAAATAAAAGTGAGGCTCTCCAGTAATGGCTCACGCTCCATTGTGAGGGAGCATGAAAAAGAAATAAAACGAAAGGGAGAATGCCAGGTTAGGAAGCAGATCTGCGGGGATCCACAGAGGTTTTGCCATCCACAGATTGTGTGCAAATGAGAAACGCAATTCCCCGGTGTGATCAGTCAGCTCACAAAGGAGCAAATGATCCATACAAGTTCAGGTATTTGATCCAAACAAATTGGTTGAAAAGAAGGCTTCCATGAGGGATATGGAGATGTGACATTTAATGGAACAACAGTGTATTGCTGGTACTGCATTAATTACAGGGACTGAGTAGATTTATCTATTTTTGTTTGATTTACCAGAATATTCAGTATTACAGGATTTGCTGCAGGCTATCCATGTTTTGCCCCCCATCAAATGGGAACCCTAAATAGCCAGTATTGGTATGCACTATCCCACACATGTTACATGGGATTATAGCACGGGAGAGTTGATTCCTAAAGGACGTTTGTTCCTAAGAAGCAATTTAACAGAGCCAAACTAACCTCGGGAAGACAAAAGAGCAAAAAAGGAGAGGCAAGGCTGACATGCAAAGAACGTCTCCAGACATCACTACGTACAAGTAAAGCTTGATTATGCGATTGGGAATAAGGACAAAGGACCAAACACTTGTCAACAAATTTTCCAGTGTGTAATTGATTTTCATTTCATGGATTGTTGGTTGCAGGTGCGTTATGGCTCAGGAGCATGGCATATAGGGAGGAGCATGGCAGGTGGGGAGGCTGGCATTAATCCACTGCCTTAGCCTCCTTCATCCGTTCTATGTTCCATATTTGCAATACTGCAAGGAGAAAGGTTTCCTAAAGTTGTAAGTAACCCATATAACCCACAAAGGTGCTTTTTTCAGGAGGCAACTGGGCTTTGTTTTTTTTTCTTTTGAAGATGTTTCACTTCTCATCCAAGAAGCATATTCAGCTCAAACTAGATGGTGGGGAATGGAAGGATTTATATTCCTTGCAGAGAGTTGGTCACTTGCATCCTTTTAGAGCAGGGGTGTCAAACTCGATTTCATTGAGGGCCGCATCAGCATTGTGTTTGACCTCGGGAGGCGGGGTNAGCTATCTATAGATATAGATGTTCTTTTCCACAACTGTAATTTGGGAAAAAGAGAAGAAAAAGGGATGGCATGGACAGCTTGCATGTAAGTATTTGTAGCAGTCCGACCCATGGCACTGATCTAATGTGGTTCGCTATGTGCAAAGTATGCCATCTGTTAATACATCAGGCCTTTTAAAACTCTCATAGATAATAACTGTATATGTGTTGGCTGTGGGTGGTGGTATAGAAGTCTTACAGTTTCCTATTCTTGGTTCTCATAACAGAAGGAGCCTTGCACAGAGCCAAGAATGAGACATCTGTGGGGCCTCAAAATTGATACTCCTGCACTTCCACCCCACAAGATTAGTGACAAACTGTTCTCCTTTTCCTATTGTTCCACTACGGGAGGGGGGGGGATCTGGATTGTTGCATACCATTTTGCAGATTTATGGAAAATAAGCAACCTATGCATAACCCTGGTAGATTTACTTATCCCAAGAATCAAATTTACTGGTTTCTTGATGCAGAATACCATGTTTCCCTGAAAACAAGACAGGGTCTTATTTTCTTTTGACCACCAAAATAAGCGCTTGGCCTTATTTTGGGGGAGGTCTTATTATTTTTGAGGGGCAGGAGGTGGCGAGCATGATCACCTCATGGTCGCCGCTGTGTTGCAATATTTTCAGGGAGGGCTTATTTTCAGGGGAGGGCTTATTTTAGCGCATGCGCTCAAATGCCCAACTGGGCTTATTATCCGGGGAGGTTTTATTTTCAGGGAAACAGGGTATATTTTTGATTTATTCTTTAATTTTGCCAACCGAGCAATGTTTGGGGTTGGCCATATGTTTCTCTGAAAGTTATGGAATTTTTCACATCCGAAAACTCTGCTAGCCAGATACTAATTGCTTTAAGTGCCAAGAAGCTAATTGGCTACTAGTTGACATTAGTCCCACAGCACCAGCCAGGTTTTCTCAGTCTGGGGCCAAATAGAGCAAGATGACGCCTTCCAGACTTCACCAGACAGAGTTTAAATGCTCCTTGAAATCATTAGATAGAAATGTCAATCAAGTAATACCAGTGAATCCGTCCTATACAATTGACAGTTACAGAGCTCCGTGGAATGGTGGCATTCTGCCCATCTCTGGACAGCCGGGGAAGGCCTTCAGTCTGCCCCCTATGCCCAGCAGCCTGTTTATTTCCTTCAGAAATCTTAAATGCCTAATACTTTATTTAGAGCCTTTATTGATTCCTTTTGCAAATAGAAAGCAGTTTAGACATGCAGAAATCAACATATCAAAGACACAATCAAAAGCGCCCCCTTCGTCATATAAACATGATCTGTATGGGAGTTCCTAAAAATGTTCTATGTTTTTGTGTATTATTCTGTGTTATCAAAAGGAGCCAGTAAAAGAGAATATATGTAGCTCAGGGTTGAACTACGGAGTGCTTGGTGTAGTCTTGAGTTTGTTTGTTTGTTTGTTTGTTTGTTTACAGACCTTTCATTACCTGACTAGCTAACATCATCAGTGCTAGTAAGTTTGGGGTTGGCACCCTTTTTATATGCAGCAGCTTGCCCTGCCAGTGTGGTACGGTTTTCTAAAAAGGGACGCTAAACTTCAGGCCATAACCAGGAAATCACCATTACACATTTGTGAGAGATTTAGGGACTGACATTATTTCAGATTTCACCATCGTACTTTGTAATTCTAATTGATTCTAATAGCCTGTTTTGCTGAACAGGTGCAGACAAACTGGGCAACCTCCAAATTTTGCATTTGCAACCTGCATTGATTTGGCATATGCATATATAGAGCATTGGGTGGCTTATACTCAAAAACTATTATAGAACAATAGAAGGCCCTGAACTGTCTTCTCGACCACTAGAAAGCTTCTTCAGGGTCTTCGCTGAACCTTTGCGCTCTGTGTTGTAGATAGCTGGTAGACTCATAGGGAAGAAACCATCACTGTACCATTCTTGTATGTGGTCTTTCTTGTTTTGGACCTACGCAATCTTGTTAAGTATAATATATATTATTTTAATTGGAAGCTGCTCAGAGTCCCATTGTAGAGTGAGATGGGCAGCATATAAATTTAATAAATAAACAAACCGCAAAGTCCAAATTGTTGTGGCTGGGAGTTGAGTTCAGAGAGCTTAAAAGAAGGAACTAAGTGCCTTGAGCCTTGCAAAAGACACCCATTAACACCTCCACCCGATGTTTTGCTGTATGCCTTCCCACTACCACCAGTGGGTGGATTAAGGCTCACTGGTGCCTAAGCATTGACAAATCTTGGTGGCCCCCCTCCTTTGTACGTACTGTATAAATCTTCATTGATTTTTTTTTCTTTCTCAACTGTGTGGTGGCCCCTTTGGGCCTAGTGCCCTAAGCATGTGCTTAGTCTGCATAATGGTTAATACACAACCGGCCACCACCACATCTCATCTTGACTTCTGCCATGTATGGAATGTGACGTTTGACACTGTTTAGCGCAGGCTTGAAGCCAGCTGAACCTCCACCTCTCTGCTCTAATAAAAGACATTGTTCTCTTTTGGCTTGGGATATTCACGCTTCCTTCTCGGGGGCTCATTCAGAGCTCGTGCTATCATTGGCAAAGGATGATCCTCCAAGCAGGCTAATGAAGAAGCAGGCTGGGTTGAAACATTAAAGCTGGCACATCCTGTGCCCCGGAGGAGGTGGAAAGTATTGAAACCACTTCCTCAATTCCCCAAAGAGACATGACTTGACTGCTGTTAATGAACCAGACACGATGTATATTGGTATTAAACATCCACAGGCTGTGAATAAATGCATAAGCACAAGTGTGTGCAAGGCTATGCCTAAACATTTTGACTGTCTCTTTCCAGAATGTAAACTCTGTACACTGACACCCCTCACTGTTTCACATGCACTCCCTTCTTTATGATAAGAGTTGTCATAAAATCAAGGGAACAGCTGATATCTGGTGGTGGTTGTTTTTTTGTTTTTTTTTTGTAGTGTGTAGCTGTCGCGCAGGAGAACAACATCTTGGTTGCTAATGTAAAATGTGTTATGCCTTTGGAGAGTGGAAAAGCTGCCTCAGTGGAAAGTGGCTGTTTCTTTTCCTTTTTTTAGGAGTAATTATATAATCTGGAAATGCCTGGTTAGTCTTGCAAGGAGTGAAGAACAGTTGCTTATCTTCGGAGAAGAGTCTCAATGTTAGGTTTTAATTACACTGTGCTTTTACTGCTGGAACGGAGAAGTCCCAGGTGTATCTCCAGCATCCATCTGACCATCCCACCCGCCTTACAGATGCTTTGCATCTGAGGTTCAGATGCTTTCTCCATGAATTGAACCAACCCAACCGATAGGGAGACCCAAACACAACCCCTATGATTATGCTCTGGATTTCTCCCCACTCAGGTACGAGATTCCGGACACCCAAATGGCTGATGAGAAACAGCTGGAGATTCTGCAGGAGAAGGCAAATTTCCGCAACTTCAAGCCCAAACCTTTTAACATGCGGGAGTTCTCGGACCGAGCTGGCCATGATATCCAGGAAATGCTGCTCTCCTGCTTGTTCCGTGGGGAGCCGTGTGGCCCCGCTGACTTTAAAGTGGTGAGTGCCTGGCTTCTTATCTCTCTGAAGATGGTGAGGTAGGGAATAAATGTTATATTTGGGTCATGTTGGGTATCCATGGAGAGAAGAACCTATGTTGTGCATGGTGTTGGCATCATTGTGGATAAAAGAGGAGGCAGTCTGCCATATTGACTTGTTGTGACAATGCAGATAGGCTTATTTCTTTATTATTGCTTACATAAATGTATAGACTGCTACAGCACACTGACTTGAAGTGTTTCACAAGAACAGGCAGAATTTAAAAAACCATAGCGCTTTAAAAAAAAAAAAAACAAACCAACCTCAGCCCATATTATATAAAAGCTGTGATCAGACAGAATAAAATGGAACAAAAAAAAAATCAAACAGAAAGTAGAAGATCAAAACAAATCAACCCAACCTAGTGCCCAAATGCCTCTTGAAAAAAAGGCTGTCTTAATAGTCCACTGAAAACCCCAACAATTTAGATATTAAATGGAACCTCAAGGGATAAGCACAATTTGGGGCTATTCCCAAAAAAGGCCCGTTGCTTGCTTTTGGGATGGAGATCCTATGCATCCTCTTTTGAGAAGACCTCACAAGATGGGCATTTTACAGAGGAAGTGGACCCCAAGGTAAGCAGGAGCTGTGCCTTTTAAAAGAGCTTTATAGATTTATAATAGCTATTTGAATTTTGACCCAGAAACCTACTGGCAACTAGCGCTGTGACAATTGCACAGGTGTTGTGCTGTAGAAATAACACCCCTCCAGCAACAGCAGGACTGTTACAATCTGAATCATGTTCAAAAGCAACCTCATGTACTGAGCATTACAGCAGTCTGATTGCAAGGCAACAAAAGCATGAGTCACTGTCATAAGGACTTCCTCATTGAAAAAGGATCGCAAGTTGTGCAAAAGTTCCCATAGTCATGATCTCCCTCTACTGTTCAAGCAGGAGTCGTGAGCACCTTAACTTGCAGATCTGGTCTTTTAAGGAGAGTGTGGTCCTTTTAGACCTGATCTAAGAACTGGGGGAAAGACTGATTATTTACAAACAGCACTTCCACCTTATCCTCTGCCGCACTGAGTCCTTTGGGAGAAGGGCGGCATATAAATCCAATAAACAACAACAACAACAAACAATTCTGATTCAGTTTGATTTTTTTGTTGTTGTTGTTCCAACTTTTAGGAACAAACCAAGAACTTCCACTCTTATCTCTACCTTGCCTGTGATAGTGATATATAATTGAATATAATCAGCACATAGAGGATAGCTCACTCCAACTGATGGATTTATATAGACATTAAAGAGCATCAGAGAGAGAAGTGAACTCTATGGCAGCCACACATTATAATATGTACAATGGAACCATAGATTCATAGGACTGGAAGGGACCTTGGAGGTCTTCTAGTCCAACTCCCTGCTCAAGGCAGGAGTCTTATACCATCCCAGCCAAATGGTTCTCTGGTCTATTTTTGAAAACCTCCACTAATGGAGACCCAAAGCCTCAGGAGACAAGCTAGTCCATTGATTAATTGTTCTCACTGTTGGAAATGTTTTCCTTAATTCTAGGTTGTATCTCCCTTTGACAAGTTTCCATCCATTCTTGTCCTGGGATCTAGCTAATTCATTTTATCTAGGCTGTGTGACAAATGAAACCACACTAACTTCTTCAGATATCTTCCCCCTAAGGAGAAGATAAGAAAATGGACAAAAGTAGTCGAAAATTGCTGTTGGAGAAATCCTCTGCTAGGAGGAGCACACCACTGCCTCTATCAAGGCAAATAGTTGTACCCGTTCCACTAAAGGGGCATTTTTCCTTTCCAAAATGAAGTTTCTGGGTTCAATGCTCAGTGATGGGTCTTAAGCTACCCCGTCCACTTCCTTAGACTGTGAATTCAAAAGAATCCAGGATGATTTCTCAGGATGTAACCTCACTAATCTTGCTGTACTGAAATCAAATGACATCCAATATAAAGTGAATATGAGCGATGTTATTAACAAGGACTTAAAAGCATATCACAACAGCCTGCAAGTAAAAACTTCTCACCTGATCCTCCGCAGAAGACTGTGGATGAGCTTGTATAAGACACTGGACAAGAATCTGTTCTTAACACCTCCATGTTTAGTTGCATTCACTCTTCATTTCCACAATATTGGTCTAGACATCTCTTCTGGCCCTTCAGCGTCTGGAGATCTTTGATTATCCAAGAAGCAGGATCAGTGACTATAGAGACGCCACATGGGAGCAGTCTTGTCCAACACCTTTCCTGTCTCTGAGTTCCAGAGTTCAAGAAAGTATGTGACAGAACTTTCTGCCTGGTCCCTGGGAAAAAATCTCCCAAGCATCTTTAGAAACCTATAGGGTCCATCAGGCCACCTTAATTTGTTCCGCGGAGATAGAACATAATCCACATATCGACCATATAATAACTTGAAAAGATTATCTTGTCTCCCAACATGCAAACATGTCTCATCTGCTCTAAGGTCAACACCAGAACTAGCATGTGACTGCCTGTATATGACAGCCTAGAAGTCATCTGGGACAAACTCATAGTTACCATGGAGGACATGCCATTCTAGCCCTGTCTAATTCCCACACTCAGGGCATAGACTGAAACCCCCCCCCCCATTTCTAATGGCTTTGGGACTCCAACACCAAACTGGCCATGAGATCGAATTGTTCAGGCAGGGTTGCTGGTGAGTAGCAGAATGGTCAGTACGCACCAGCAGCCATAGTTCGACTCTGTGGCCCAATTTCAACTTTCAGGCATTCATACCTAGTCACAATTAAGGTGTCACAAAACATTCCCCCCCCCCCCCCCCGACCTTGAAGTTGGGGCTGCTGAGCCAAACAGAGAAGGGTAAATCATGCCATGGTGATATCCATATCTATGCCCAACTGTGCTTCCTTTCAATGATGCATGGCACATTCATCTACCACCATGTTTTGGATTATTGTGGTCTTTCCACATAGAAACATGACATCCAACAGCAATAGCCTGAGTCCACCTTCCAGACCCGGAAAGGAGGCAGATAGTTTTGGAAGCAGGCACGTTCAACAAAATGAGTCTCCTTTCTTCTGGAAAGGCCAGGCCATTGCATCCAGCCATACCCCCACCAACAACCCATCACTGTAGCAATTTGTTGCTCAACATCAGCATCTTCTGAGATTTCACAGGTCTCTCCCAAGCTGCCCCAAACTGTTTTCATATCCTACACTAATCTACTCCCATACTACATAACTCAGTGGGGCAACAGTCTGAAACATCACTCATACTATCCTGTTTAGAATCTTAATAAATGCAGGATGGGTTCCCTAATGCCCTCCTTAATGTTTGCTTCCAATTTTGTTCCATTGTGGGTTCACTGGAGGGTGACAGCAGGACCATGCAGGATAACCACCTTAATTCCTTGCCTTCTGTCCAAGTTGATGACACTTAGTCTAGGTTTAGTTAGCATCGTTTGACATACGTAGTTAAATGATGAAATAATTGCCCATCAATTTAAACAATTGGTTAAAAAAACACTGGAAAATATATACAGGAATCAAAGAGAACTATTTTGAATAACTAATATACTTTGAAAGTCAAAGGTAACATATCCAAAATATGAGTTCCTATGAAGCAGCGGTTGGAGACATTTTATACCCTAGAGCAGTGTTTCTCAACCTTGGCAACTTGAAGATGTCCGGACTTCAACTCCCAGAATTCCCCAGCCAGCATTCGCTGGCTGGGGAATTCTGGGAGTTGAAGTCCAGACATCTTCAAGTTGCCAAGGTTGAGAAACACTGCCCTAGAGATGAGTTTCCCTAAAGACATCTGAGTTGTGTGTGATGAAGAATGTTGGGAGAGGTAAGGCTTTAGACTGATCCAGTAAGACTCATATTAGGGCAACAACTGGGAACTTGGGCAGCAGGTACCTTAACACTTAAGAGTGTTTTTGCATCCAGTAAACAGTGTGCCTATGATATATGCTAATGCCTGTGTGTCTCTATTAAATGGGATTAATTCAAGGTCCAAACTTATTGATTAGAAGACTATGTAAATCTAGCATGTTATTATCTCTGATGAGTGGAGATTGCAACTCCATGTTGTTGTTGCCCTTCCCCTTCCTCTTCCCCCCTCCTCCTCCTCATTCCCATATGTTTGCAAAGTGTGCTTTGTTTTGCACTGGGCTCAGCTAGTTCTTCCAGCAAAGTTATCAGTGCATGTCGCAACAAGAGGCTTTGTTTATCAGTTGGTTTGTTGCAAAGCCGGAGGTTGAATTGAGATTGAGAGGGAATCACTGGCCTAAGATTGCCCAGCTTAAGGGAGGACCAGACCCCGAATTTCCTTGCTCCTAGTCGAGCATCTTCTTAACCACTATACCGTGATGTCTCCATTGTATAAAGAATTATAAAGATGCATGGATGATGCAGAGCAGGGTTAACAAACAGCTACTGAGGAAATAATTTACCGTTCTGTATCCTCAAAGGCAAATTTTTTAAAAACTGTTGGAAACCTGAATTTTGCCTAGGTGTATGGCAATGAATGCTATGGCAACTGTGTGGACACAGTATGGCATTGTGGTCCAAGCTGAACCATGCATATTCGCTTTGGAAAGATGCTTTGTTTGAGGGCGGGAGGGGGGGATGTACAGCATTAAATAAACAGGCAGGAAAACTGTTATGGGGAAAAGTGGCTGTTTTCCAGATTCTACAATTGCCTCTTTGAAAAGAAGTCTCTTGTAGTAATAGGTAGATACAGGTATTTATTTATTTATTGGTTTGTTTGTTTTGTTTTGTTGAGCGTCTATAGGATAACAGATATAAGAATATACAAGATTATGAATACATGAAATGGATACAAATAAATGGGGTGGTTAGGGCAGGGACGGTAGGCACATTGGTGCGCTTATGCATGCTCCCTTACACTCTTAGGAATGGGGTGAGGTCAACAATAGACAGTCTAAGGTTAAAGTTTTGGGGGTTTGGGGAAGAAACCTCTGAGTCAGGTAATGGATTCCAGGCATTGACCCCTCTGTTGCTGAAGTCGTATTTTCTGCAATCAAGTTTGGGGTTCCACCACAAAACCGCGGAGGACAAAATCGCGCTCGACGAAACCGCGCATTTGACGTCATCACAGCGCGACGAAAACATCG